AGTTGGCTCGAGGTAGAAGACGATGGATAATCGATTATCAACTTGAAAATCGATTATTCATCGTTCTGCAGATTTTTGTAACAAAGCTGAGCAACAGTCGATTATCAGAATGTGATAATCGACTATCAGCCCTCTCTGAAGTTTGATAATCGATTATCAGAGTGTGATAATCGATTATCAGCCCATTCTGAACATCAGAAAGTAGATTATCAGAAGTGACAGTAGATTGTGTCCCTACACTATTGAAGAAAATGAAGCTAATAGCTAATAATATAATTTCCTATCATATGTTAATCAATTTTTATTTAGAAAACATGATTTTTGAGTTATGGAATCCTATATTTTGATACCAAACCATTATGATTAATAAAAGGATGATTTCATGGAATAAAAATGGTGTTTTAACAACTAAAAGGGATCTTATGTGATGCATGACGGTAAGCTAGGGTGTTAACACTCGATGCTAGGCCGCTGATTGTTATTAGATTGTTTATTTGATGAATATTATGGATTTTTAAATGATTGTTGAACTATATTAATGAATAATGTTGTTAAGGATATCTAGAAGAACTCTAAAGATATACCCACTTGTATAATGATGATGATTATTAAGGATATCTAGAAGAACTCTAAGATATACCCCCTTGACCAATTCATATTTCGGGGTTAAAACGTACGTACGGGATCAAGACCGGATATCACCCACCCGACAAATCATTGTTCGGTTGGTACGTAATCCACATGACTCATAGGGTGGATTATCGATTCTTGTGTTCTGCATTAAACTATTTATAGTTTAAGGGCCTGGTTAGAAATGTTGTCTTAGACTAGGAATAGCTAAGAGCTTGTTATAAAATTATTTGGTCTTAGATTAAAAATAATTTAAGCGCATGGTTGAGATATTGAATATCGAATGACTTGGAATAAAATATTGAGAATATCATGAATGTTTGAATCATATATTGTGTGCATGATATCAAATGGTTGATTATGAATTGAGATTCAATTTATTTGGATGTTCGACGCTTTAGATATGCTTACTCAGCTTCATCGCTGAGCGTGTAGTATGTTTTCATTGCTACACGCATGTAGACAAAATGAGTGAATGGCATGTTCTTGGCAGCGGAAGGGGCGAGACAGTCGTGGTGGATTTATTGAGAAAATAAATGATTATGTTATTATGAATCCTGTTTAAAAATCGCTTCCGCATTAAACACTCCGTATTTACTACAATTATGTTTGGAATTTCATTTATGATGAATAAAGTTATTTGAAATGTTTTAAATTATACGATTACCAAGTTAATACTTTAGTTCGGAAGGGGTTGTAAACCTGGACGGATTAGGGTGTTACAGGCACGACATTAGTTTAATTTCTTCTGATTAGCTTGGGTGAAGATTGGTTAGAACGATCTTCTCACTTCTTTTTTACCAACCACCCGTAATATTTATTATGGATAACTCCAGTGGTTATTACGGACCGCCTTCCTTCAACCAATCACCCAACCACCCTCCGTTTCAANATCCCTCTGCTCCAGGAAAGGTATGAGAATTTATTAGATAAATATTGACTTTGTTAAAATTGTCACTAGATAACAATTGTTAGTAGTGAAATTATATCGAGCATAGACTCAAGTAGATTTTTCGTACTCGGTGAAGAGACGAAAGAATAAAAAAAAATTGTGATACGTTATCAACGTACTTATCATATCGCGATTGACGAAGCTGATCTATTCGCAAAGTCGCATAGAAGTGAGACGACTTTGAAGAAACGCCTAATGTTGAATAACATTCGCAAAGCTGCTGTCAAAGATCCTTTAGTCCTAATGTTGAAAAGTTTTAAATTTTATGATTACCAAGTTAAATACTTTAGTCCGAATGGGGTTGCAGACCTGGACGGATTAGGGTGTTACAATTTGGTATCGGAGCAAATGGTTTTAGACCCGATCTTTGGATCAAAACTTGGATTAAAAAAAAATATTGTCAATCACATCCACGACTCTCATGTCCCTCTGCTCCAGGAAAGGTATGAGAATTTACTTGGTAAATATTGAGTCTGTTAGAATTCTCATTAGAGAATAATTGTTAATACTGAAACTATATCGAGCATAAACTCAAATAGATTTTTCGTACTCGGTGAAGAGACGAAAGAATGAATAATAATAATAATAATAATAATAATTGACTCCCTGATACGTTATCAACATACTTATTGCATCGCAAATGACGAAACTGATCTGCATCGCAAAATTATATGGAAGTGAGATGACTCTGAAGAAACAAATGATGTTGAACAACATCTGTGAAGCCGATGTCAAAGATCCTCATGTGGACTCAATATGATCTGTTCGTTGATTTAAACACGAACGTTTAGAATCAATAAACTCTGTTATCTAAAGTATCCTGTTTTGATGTCTAACTCTTTACGACGCAAAGATGTGATTACATCTTATGAATCGAAATCGTTCGTTAAACGATAATTCCTTACAAAATCTCGTTGAAGTACCATACAAGGAAATCGACATTATCCTTAGTATGCACTGACTGACTGAACGTCGTCGTTGTTGACAACTTGTGATGAAGAATTCCTCAACTGAAGGCCAATGATGGTAACATCATAGGAGGTGAAAGCAAAGCTGATTTCTAAACCGACCAAGTTCATCTCGAATATATATATATGCGAAAACATCTCAAGTGTGAAATCTATTCGTGCGATACCCAAAAAGAAATATCTGAATTGAAGGAACATACCGAAAGTATGTCACCTCTCTGATATGAACTTCCTTATGTTTCACCGTTCAAAATTCTGTCAATCTTGATCCTCGAGAGGACCAATATTCGTAAATCTGTATTGAATATGTTTCCGTTTAAAAAAAAAACTCAACTATGAAGATTGCCTGACAAGGAATCATCTGATAAAGTGTTTCCTCCTTGGGAGAATGCATGTTCTGATCATACGCGAATAAAGAAGAATCTATGAGACTTTGTATCAACTAGTGTCAGTTGAACAATTCATTATCCTTTACCTCGTATCGATGACTTATTTGATCAGCTTAGAGGATCCATTGTGTTCTCTAAGATTGACTTACGGTCAGGATACTGTTAAATCCTTGTTATGGAAGATGGACAAACTGACAATCAAGAATCGCTACCCTTCATTACGTATAGATGATTTGTTCGAAGAACCTGTTTGTTAGAAGCTATAGACAGCTCGACCTTGTTGAATAAACTGATTCCTTTCATGAAGCGATTAATGACTTAATTGCTTATCGTCAAAAATGTCGATGTAACCTGATTGAATAAGTGAAGCAAAGTGATGCTAACAAGACAAATCGATTGATACGTTGACGTAAAATACAGAACGAGACGTAAAACAGTAACACCAACAGTGAAAGACTGAAGAATGAAGAAAATGTAGCTGTACTGACCATACAGCTTAGAATAATATATATGACTAACTCGTAATGTTCAAGGACGATATTATTTCAACATGAATGCAACTTAGATTACATGAGGAAAGTTAAAGATGCAATTCTAGGTCTAATCTCTCAGGATTTGCAAACTCGTCGTAACCGGCTCCCGGACCTGGGAAAGCTTTAGCAAACTCTAGTTTGTCTAAAAGCTCGCCAACAAAGAAAGAAGAAATAAAAAGTTTCCTCTGACTAGAAGCCATGAAGTTCTGTCTCACTGCATCGTCTAAGAATTTGAGAAGGTTATTGAAATAACTGTCAATGTTTAAAAGACCAATGGGTCTATTGTGTAACCCTTTAGAAGCCCACGAGATCAAGGTAAACAAACCTTCCATAGTGTCAACTCCTCCAGGAAGAACAATGAAAGCTTCCACGGCATGATTCATCTCAAAATATTTGTAGTAATTGCTGGAAACTGTGTGCTCTACACCGTACGTAGGTCCATAGACCCGTCGTGTTGCTATGTACCCAGGAATGAAACCTCTAACGAGACCACCATTGGTAAAGACTGTTGAAGCAACAGCTCCTTGTAGGCCAACGTTGCCTCCTCCATAAGCAAGACTAATTCTTCGTCTTAACAATTCCCTTCCTAAATCTACCGCAGTAGCCATAAACTTTGGATTTCTACCAAGAGAATGACTGCCAAGTAGACCAACGAATCTTATGGTGTAAGGAAGTGTTCGAGAAGTTCCTTCCATAATGTGAGAATGTGAGATACTCTTTCAATAATCGTGATATATATAGTCTTTGAAACCTGACCATGGATGGAAAGGTAATTATCACCAGCCAAAATATGTACAGTAAATGGACTCAAATTACCTGCATACGAGAACGTACTCGCTAATGCTATAGTCTGCTGACGATATGACGTGTTGAGACTCTTGAACAGTTAGATTCGTTGTCCTAAAACACGTTCAAATCCGAGACGAAAAGTCAAAATGACTATTTCTAAGACATCGAACCCTTGAGTAATTTCCAAAGAGTGAAACATCGAAAAAAGAAAATCTACGATTTGTAACGGCAATTCGCAAACGCTATCTTTATATCTCGTGACTCGTATCCTTGAATTACTCAAACTTGATGTGTTAACTACACTCTTGAAAGATCTCGCTTGATCAATCTTGAAAAGATTGAATTCCATTGTTGTATCAAAATATTAAACCCTTGGGAACTTGTCTTAATTCATCAAGATACGTTATACTGATCTTTGAAAACTACACTCTATGAACTACGGTAAAAGCATTCTGATTGGAATATTATGTTGAGCCTCTCTTTGTGAACCACAAAATGGTTGATGCGATTACGTTATCTCTGAAGATTATTATCGATGATCTCATTTGACCAAAGAAACTCCGTTATGACCCTACTAAGGGAATGTATGTGCAACAACCAGAGAAGAAGTGACGCCACAAGGATCAAGTTGAATCATTCAAGTGAAGATTTCGAACCTATATGCGATGTTGGTGTAAGAACTAGTAAAGATTCCTCACTCTATGAATTCATGAATTGAATCACGCACTGAAGATATTATCTTCTTCACTCGAAATGAAATCAACCATAGTGTTACATCAAACCTGTCATTATCAAGAACGTATCTGAATACGACAAGACGTATATGAAACGCCACTCTAACGTTATCACCTGTGGATACGAATTAATGCAAAGACTCATTAACGATAATGAGATCTACCATGAAGTAAACGAAGGAATGTTTTAGTATAAGGTCGATAAATGACAAGCTACTGTACAACGAGTAGTACCTCCTCATAATGCATGATAAATCCCATACCCTGAAAATCTTGGACCACGAAAAGCCATTTGATGTTACTTACAAATCATTCTGAACTATATGAATAATGTGAAGATGTCTTGAATGACTTGGATGATTTCGCTAAAACGTATGGATTGAAACAAC